ATATAGATAAAGTAGAATTATAATAGAATAGAAAGTGTTAGAGTTAGAGGGTCAAATAAAGGTGGAACAGATGTGTTTTTAGTCGTTTCTTGAAGATGGTTAAGGACTCAGCTGCTCGGATTGATTTGGGCAGGTCATTCCACCAGGAGGGAACAGTTAATGAAAAAGTCTGTGAAAGTGATTTTGTGCCTCTTTTAGATGGCACAATAATACGCCGTTCACTAGCAGAACGTAAGCTTCTAGAGGGCACATAACTCTGAAGTAATGAATTTAGGTAAATGGGTGCAGAGCCAGTGGTGGTTTTGTAGGCAAACATTAATGCCTTGAATTTAATGCGAGCAGCTACTGGTAGCCAGTGCAAATTGATGAACAGAGGTGTGACATGCTTTCTTTTCGGCTCATTAAAGATTAATCTTGCAGCGGCATTTTGGATTAATTGTAGAGGTTTGATTGAAGTGGCTGGAAGACCTGCCAAGAGAGCATTGCAATAGTCCAGCCTGGACAGAACAAGAGCTTGAACAAGGTGTTGTGTTGCATGTTCTGAAAGAAAGGGCCTGATCTTCCTAATGTTGTATAAAGCAAATCTGCAGGACCGGGCAGTTTTAGCAATGTGGTCTGGGAAATTCAGCTTATCATCCATCACAACTCCAAGGTTTCTAGCTGTTTTTGAAGGAGTTATGGTTGATGTGCCTAACTGGATGGTGAAATTGTGATGAAACGATGGGTTTGCTGGAACCACAAGCAGTTCTGTCTTAGCCAGGTTGAGTTGAAGGTGATGGTCGGTCATCCAGTAAGAAATGTCTGTTAGACATGCTGAGATGCGAGCAGCTATCGTCGGATCATCAGGATGGAATGAGAGGTAGAGTTGAGTGTCATCAGCATAGCAGTGATATGAAAAGCCATGTTTCTGAATGACAGAACCTAATGATGCCATGTAGACAGAGAAGAGAAGTGGTCCAAGTACTGAGCCCTGAGGCACTCCAGTAGCTAGAAGTTGTGACTTGGACACCTCACCTCTCCAAGATACCTTGAAGGACCTATCTGAGAGGTAAGACTCAAACCACTGGTGTGCAGTTCCTGAGATGCCAATAGGGTTGACAGGAGGATCTGGTGGTTCACCGTATCAAAAGGGGCAAAAAGCGCCCCTGCTTTTGGGGCTAAAGGCACATGATAATTAATAGATGGCTGACTTTTCCATTTGTTGACATGACATGGTTAGATTCAGATGGTAAATATCATATATTATGTTGGGTGTCCATATTAGAGATAATCACCATGTTTATAATGAAACCATCATATTTAAAAACATGATATTAATCATATCATATAATAAAATATTATTTGTTGTTACTACTGTAAATATATATTAAATTATTGTTGGATCTCCTTCAATGCTTTCAGAATCTTTACTTATTAAAATGATTTTGTTTCTGTATTTTAAAATATTATTTTTATATTAACATATTTTAATGACAGTATATTTATTGAACAAAAAAATATTCTTTTTATTTTTCAAAATAAGCAGAAAATAGTACAAACTTTGCTAAAGAGATTGTTTTAAACATGTATTAACTTAGACATTATTAAAATAAAACATAATTTTAGCTGAAGTATTTGTATCAATACGGTGTGCCCCGTGTGTGGGGTAAAAGGCCCCTCTTGCCACCTCATACATTTATAAGATTTTTAAACAAAATAAACAACTTGAATGATTTATTTTCACACAAAATATGTTGCTCCATTAATATTCAATACAACATATTTTTTTCTGCAATTATACATTTTAGACGCAGTGAATAGCACATTTTTTCTTAAGGTGGTACCCCGTTGTACCCTAACAATAATAATAATAATAATAATAATAATAATAATAGCAGGACAGGCGTGAGTTCGGCTCCAGACAGTGACGTCCACTGGCTCGCGGCGCTCGGCGATGACGTCACTGTGGCGGAAGTGAAGGAGAGTTCCAGAAAGAGCGGCGGTGCACGAGACACACAAACACACAGGAATATAACAATAAGAACTCTTATAATAATAATAATAGTAATAACAGCGACTGTACGGGGCTTTATAACGGAGCAGACGCGTAAGTGACCGTCATGACGACCATCGATTACAGTGTGTGGGATCATATCGAGGTGTCCGATGATGAAGATGATACTCACCCAAACATCGACACACCGAGTCTGTTCCGCTGGAGACACCAGGTGATACACACACACACACAGCTCTGCGACACACACACACACACACACAGCTCTGCGACACACAGACACACACACACGAGGTGTAAAGTATTGGAGTAAATGTAATTAGTTACTGTACTTGAGTATCTTTTCAGGTACTTTGTAGTTGTACTGAGTATCAAAGATATTAGCAACTTTTACTCTTTACTTCACTACATTTTTGAATGAGTATCTGTACTCTTTACTCCACTACATTTGAAATGAGTGTTGCAGTTACACATTACATTTTGCATGGACCTAGATTTTTCTGCAGCAGTTTATTTCTGCTACAAAAGACGTGATACTGCCTATTACAGGTCACTGAAAGTACTGCATCTTGTGCGTTTTGCCCTTACTCACCCAAACTTGTCAACAAGGCTACTTTATGTGAATGCGAGTTCCTTAGCAAGTATTTGTGAATCAGAGGTGTTTTATATATGAGATGAGGACATGACTGCAGCCGGCAATGAGGCCCAAACCAGCACAGCCAGTGTAAGAAGGCTTCGGCTTTTTAATTTTACTTAACATTATTTTATTTATCCATTATACTGAAGAGACCTTTTTGAAAGATATTGTTTGTTTGTTTTGTTTTGTAATTTTGAGGTGTTCAGTTTTATTTTGGTTTTAGAAAATAAACGTAATAAACGTGACAAATCAACTCTTTCTTGTTTTTGTTTCATGCTCTCTGAGCCTTGCCCTGGACTTTTATGACTTTTATGTTCTCCCATGGTGTTTGTAGTCAGTTTGTAGTCCGTTTGTTCATTGGTTCCCCTTGATTAGTCTCCCCAGGTGTGTCTTATCTTGTTAAGCTTGTTAGCCCCCTGTGTGTATATATAGCCCTAGTTTTTCTTTAGTTCCCTGTGAGTTGTTGAATGTAATGGTTGTCTGTTTACCAGTCATTCTGTTCTTTGTTCCCTTTGGTTTTTGCCTTATTGTTTGTTCTAGTTTTTCCATGAAATACCAGCACATAGATCCTCTGCCTGTTTTCCGCAGCTTCTCCACAACGTTACAGTTTTTCACTGGCATGTCTCTTTGACTAGTGCATCTTTGAGCCTATATTTAGTATAAGTAAAATACTTAAGTACTGTTAAAATCAGATACTCTAAGACTTTTACTCAAGTTGTTTTGGAATTGGTGACTTGTAACGTGTAGTGGAGTAATTTTCACTGTAAGGTATCTGTACTTTTACTCAAGTATGGTTTTTAGGTACTCCTTACACCTCTGGTACCTTGACCTTTTAATGTATTTTTTTATGTATTTTGACCTTTTAGTTACTTTTTAACTGCAGTGTAAATTAAAATGTTTTGTGAATATATGAAAATGTGCCTTGATTATTGAACTAAAATGCACATCTTAACAGACGTTTACTCTTTGAATTCAACATTTTTAATATAATTGGCTACTATGGCTGTTTTGATTAAATCATTTTTGATCTGATTAAAAAAAAAAACACACAATTATAAGCCATTTCAAAACAAATACACACATACTGATTATTATTAAAAGACTGAAAATATTTAAATATTTTATTTATCTATACCACCCAGCCCTATTACTTGGAGCACCTTTAAACACATTTTAGTGTTTATTAATTAATTATTCTGAGTTTATCTGTGCAGCAGAATTCAAAATAGAACCATTAAACATAAAAACAGGTTGGAAAGAAAACTGATTGCATGTTTAAATTTAAAACAGACTGGCTTGGACACTCACTGGTGGTATCCTGAACAGTAATGGGATCACTGGCCTCCTCTCCGAACATGGCATAGACTGTAACGGTGTACTCTGTGTCAGGAATCATTTCAGTCAGTTCCACATCAGTCACCGACTCATCCACCTTTAGCTGTATCCCAAAAACAACGGCAACACCTTTAGAGCAGCATAAAGGCTGCTGAAACACAGATCAAAGTGCAACCAAGGGAACTCAAACGTGATGAATGTTATTCTTCTTCTACGGCTCCCATGAAAAGACACAGATTTCTGCTCATTCTAAATCAGATACAGATAAAGTAGCACAGTAAAGATTACATTAATATGAATGCATTAGTGAGAGCAACTGCGTGTGTGAATTAATTCTACCTGGCAGCGTCTCTCTACTAATAGTGAAGCTGTGGAATTTAGTTATTAAGAAATATATGTTTGAACTTTTCCGTTTCTAAGCTATTTTATTGAGAAATCACAGAACAGTGTTGACAATACATTTCCGCGCTGAATGATTCTGTGCGCGTGATGTACGAGCTACTGTCTGTAATGTGTGTGCGTTAGGGATGCTCTGATTGATCGGCCGGAGATCGGTATCGGCCGATAATCACATTTTATGACCCGATCGGTACTCTCTACACTTCGCCGATCTCACGAACCGATCACAATTTGATGACGTCAACGCGTGACCACGTACATGATGCGTGGGGGCATAAATGATTTGGCACCACAGTCATGTCATCTCATCGCGGGTGTGGAAATGCTATGACGTTTCGAGAAACTGAAAAATTCGCTATTTGTCGTGTATGTTTTGCATGATGACATGATGAATGGATGGTTAATTTTTAACAGCAGATTCAGTAACATTAGAGCTGATCTGCGCCTTACTGCACACGTCTGCGGCGCGTTACGGCTCCACGGGAACCGGAGCTGATCGCGGCCGCTCTAGTCAGTGCTTGTCTTTATGAGTCAGCCGCGGCATGTTTCTGAAGCGGCTCTCCACTGCTTGGCTAAAAATAGTATTTTGTGATGGTCAGGTGTGTGTGTGTAGGGCTGAACGATTAATTGCATTTGCGATAATATCGCGATATGAAAAATTTCGATTTTTCAATCGCAGAGGCTGCGATTACACGGTCACGTGACAGGCGAGAGTAAAGAGGGGTGTTCGTCTTGAAGATCAGATCGGTGTATGACATCAAAGTACGGCGAGCGAGAGAAAGCATAAGGAGACGTCCGCGCTCTCTTATAGCTCTCTCAGTACCTTCATGACACACACCCATCGGCCTAAGCAGTGCT